TGTATTCAGGGAGAAAATGCTCACTATACTTCTGAGAGATCTATTCAGGAGCTGTTAATATCAATTTCTTCTGTGATCAGTGACAAAATATATACAGATATTCGCTCCAGTCGTGTATTCAGTGTGATGATGGATGAAACAACTGATGTAGCCATTCTAAAGCAGCTAATTACTTATATGAGATATATCACAGTGAATGGAAATGAATGTGAAGTAAGTACCAAAATCTACACTGTTTCTTGGCATTATTATTGAAATATACATTCTACAAAAATTTTATAAATATTTATATGTATATTTTTTAAATTTTTTACCCAATTAGGTAAAGACCTCATTTGTTGGAATTGATGATTTGTTTAATGGTACAGCTGAGACTATCACCAAGAGTACAGAGACAACCTTCAACAAACTTGATATAAATTTTAAGGATTGTTCAGCACTTGGATCAGATGGGGCTGCGGTTATGGTTGGCCAGAGAAAAGGGGTAGGTTTTATTTATTTTTCATTGTGATGTTGAAGCCAGAGAAATCTCATCTAATTGCTCACTGCAGCACTGGTATTTGAATATTAGTCTCCACTGTCTCCTGTATTTTAATATGTTCAAAATTAACTTTTAGTTTATGTACTTTTCACAGGTTGCTACCAAACTGAGAGAGAAGAATGGTACACTTATCAACATTCATTGCATTGCCCATAGGTTGGCTCTTGCTTCCAGTCAAGCTATGAATGATATAAAATACTTGAAGAGGTTCAGTTCTACATTACAGCAGCTAGACTATTTCTACCAAAACAGCTCTCTGAGAATGGCTGGTCTCCAGGAAATTCAGGTGAGAAATTATTTATACATGTATGAATGATCAACCTCTTTAAATACTTCACAGTGTGATTGGTATCCTAATCTGTCCTACTAATTACGGAAAATACTTGGAGAACCAGACATTAGACTAAAAGAGGCTAAAGCAGTTCGTTGGCTGTCACATCAACGTGCAGTTGATGCCATCAGGAAGACATTGCCAGCAATAATTACAAGTTTGGAGAGAGAGGGCAATGAAAGAGATGATGCAACAGCAGCTGGCTTGGCCACATTTGTGAAGAAATACAACTTCATAGCCAGTGTACATATGATGAGTGATATTTTGCCTCATCTGACAAGGTTATCTCTGCTATTTCAGGTATGCCAAATTTAATTATAAAAGATGCATTGACAGAATTTGTATTATTATTACTACTATTATTATTATTATTATTACTACCGTAAAAACCCTCAAATAAGAGCCACTTTGTAGCACTTTCATTTCTGGGTGGTGCTTATTTGAGGTAACATGTTGACAACTTTGTAGCCAGTGGCTCTTAAACCAGGGTCATCAAACTTTTTCATTGTGAAATAGGGAAGAGGATAGGCAAACACACACACAACCAAAAAGACAAGTAATTA